CTGGTGCTGTGCTCCTGGCCCCCGACTGAAGCTATATTTCGTGGCCACATCGTGAGACCCTTCGCGAGACTTTGAGAGAATGCCAGCGAATGAGGCGCCAAGCCACAGTCCGGCAAGCACTCCAACACGCATGCGACACCAATCCGAGCGATGCAAGATGAAGCAGGCCTCCAACCCAGCAGTGGGCTCCGAGGAGGATGCCAGGGACTCCTGTCGAGAGGGTTGTGCACTTCGACACGTTATGGTCCCCTCCAGTGGGCCCGTGCCCATGTCAATGTCAGGATTCCCGGATGGTCTGCGCACGGCCCTTTCACAGTGCCCGCCGCTCAAGTCACACGGCCCTTCCACAGCGCACGTGTGTTCTACTGGTTGAGGGCCCTCTCGCAGTGCCCAGAATTCAGCAGAACCACGGCAATCTGATGATGCAAAAACCTGTCCTGCACCAGCTGCTCTTCCACAGGAGTCGATGTCGTAGCCCGAGACAGATCCTGCGAGACAAACACCGGAAAAAAAACAACTAACCATGACTCAATGCCCGTCCTGTGCCGGCTGCTCCCCTGCAGCAGTTGATGCCGTAGCCGGAGCCACGTCCTACGAGAGTTTACGGGCCCAAATCAAAAACTAACCAAGAGCCCGCCAGCAGCTGACACCGCCTGGGAATCGCACCAAGATTGTCCCGCAGTCGCTGGAAAAAAAACCACATTAATCCGAATCCTATCACGAACACCTTGGAACCCTCACAATGATGCCCGTGCACCTCAAAATAAGGCCTCGTGGGCCCTCTCACAAGTGGGCCCTGTCACAGTGCCCCTCCTGATCCGGAAAATGCCGATGGGCCCTCTCACAGTGCCCATCAGCCTGGGCCCTATCACAGTGCCCACCCCCTGAACCTGGGCCCTGTCACAGTGCCCGTCTGCTTGCAACGTGGGCCCTCTCACAGTGCCCATCGCTTAGATTAAGCTTTAAAAGCCTGAGCCCTGCAAAGGAAAACAACAAGCCGCTGACCTGTTCCTGCTGGCCGTCTGCAAGTGGGACCTGGGCGGGAGATGGCAGGAGCACACGGGCAAAAAAAAAAACCAACCGCATCGCTCAGCACCACACAATCCTGGCTCGCTTCGCACTCGGCTCCTCCACTGACTCCTGGGCATACCGTGGCAATCCACTGAACCCGCAGACGAAGGACTGCGACCCAACCCAAAACTAGCTCAAAGCCAGCGACCGATGCGAAGCCGCGGTCGCCCTGCCCCCTCGCAGCCTGCTCGCTAATGTTTATACATAGGAGTCCTGAATCCTGGGTCCTGCATAACCGCAGCGTTTCTGGGACCTGTGCGATGCGTGTGAGTGCGACAATGTCAGGCATGCAAGGCACAGTCGTTTCGACTGGTCTTCCCGTAGTTCCGGTAGTACACTTCCCACGGCATGGCTACTTCGCTACTGCTCGGTGCTGCTTGTTTGTTCCTGCCGACTGTTGTGTGTGCGCGAGGAATACTGTGCAAGTGATCCTGTGCAAGTACCGTCCCTGCAGAAAAAAGCATGCTACTGGCATCTGCTGGATCACACCGGCCCTTGCAAGCGTGCGACGTGCAAGCACATGCCAGCACAAGCCACAGCATGTCTGTCCCTCTCTCTGTATAAGTCTCTTATCTGGAACCGCGGTACCTATTTCTTCTGGCCCACCCCCACTCTCCCAAAATAAGTGCCGGAAATAGTGGCAGGCAGAGCCACCCCCCGCCACCCCAGGTACGATTTCGAGGGGGTCCTCATGCTGCTGCTATTGGACTCTTGGCGGGAATGCAGGATGTCCCGCTGCTGCAGCTGCTGCTGCTTGCGGGCTCGAGCCCCGTCTCAGTGCCATGAAGTGACGCCCACACATGTTACGCTTCCAGTTTTGGCGACCCCGACTCGTCATACATCTTAAACATGCCCCCTCATTTGGCGAATCCGGGTAACCAGATTTCTGATTTCGTGATTAAGTGTTAGTAATGTCATTTTTGCTGAGACCATTGCATCGGGTTGCAAGTCGTGCTCGGGCTTGATGCCTCAGTTTATAAGGGTTGCGGGCTTAGGGATGCTGGAAAAAACAACGTGAAGACAAGCAGAAAAGCGGAGGAGCATAAGAGCTAAGCATAAACGCAGTGAAGCAGACAGCGGAAAGGCAGAAGCAAGAAGCAGAAAACGAGAAGCAAACAGAGGCAGAAAGCAGAAAGAACAGCGGAAAAGCAGAAAAGCGGAGGAACAGAAAGTGAAGCAGACGAGCAGAGAAGCGGAAAAGCAGAGAAGCAGAAAAGCAAAAGCGTGGAAAAGCACAAAACTACAAGCAAGCAAAAGCAGGTAGACAGGGCAAGCAGGAGCACGGCTGCCAAGGCTCGAACTTCTTTTTCCTGCTTTCGAGCCTGCGAGCAGGGAAAAGCTTACCGGAGCAGATTTTGCTCTGGAACAAGACAGACTAAAACTGCAGAGTAGACTGGAACTGGACATGGGGATCCCACGTTGCTAGTCCAACCCTTGTGCCGCGATGTGGCGCAATTCGCTCGAGATGATCCCGAAGCTCATGATGCGTCAGCGATTCGGCTCTGCATCGGCTTCCGTTCGCCTTTCTGATCCGTGCCCTGTCTTGCGAACTCTCTGTGCTTCGCACGTTGCTTTTGTTGTGAAACGCGAAGGTCACAAACCTAACTGCACACCGAAAATGGAGGACAGCTGCTGCGTGTCACATGTGTGCACACAGCAAAACCCGACACGGAGCAAGCCCGGCAAGCCCTGAACAATAACCATGCAGCCATGCAGCTGGCACGTGAAACACCTCCTTCCGGCAGAGCTTTGGGCCGTCTTGAATTTTTGAACCGTGCTCTCGGACTGTCACGCGCTGTCCTTTGCCTGATGCAATGAAGACCCAGGTGCACTTCGGTTGTGACATCCCCGTGCAAGAACATGTTGAGCTCCCACTTGGAACAGATTGAGTCGGCACCAGGATATCTTGTCGATCTGCCGTCGGAGAGTGAGTGTCAGTAAGTCCACCGTGCCCTGAGGCACACTGCGGCCGACCGAACGAGCCAGAGGCCCGTCAGAGAGTGAGTGCCAGAAAGTCCACCGTGCCGTGAGGCACACTGCGGCCTAGGCTACATCAAAGAACCAAGACTACGTAGTAGTGCAAAGTATGTCATGGTGACTGTAGGGCAAGACCGAAATTTCCCAAAGATCAGCAGACAGCACGGGCTAGGGGTGTGACTTGCACCATGCCTGGAAATCTGCCCAATGATTTTTGGCGGGTCCGGAAAATTGTTTGGTGACTGTTGGGATGCATGGCGAAGGGCAACAAACGAAATTTTCCCGACTTCGGCAGCCAGCTCGGGCTTGGGGTGACTTGCCCCTTGCCTGGAAATCTCCTCAATGATTTTTGGCGTCTCCGTAAAATTCATTAGTGAGTGTTCGGTTGCATCCCCAATTGCCCGAGTGCTTCGTTTGGAGCTCCGCAACACGACCTCCGAATCTGGGTTTGTTGCTTGTCTGAGCCTCCTTGCAATGCCAGAATGAGTCAAAAGTCGCCAGGGAGAGCCTGCATGAGCTCGCGGACGAGTTGCTCAACGGTTGTGATTGGAGGCCGCTTTTTTCGTAAATGCTTTTTCCCGCTGAAACCTTTTCACAAAATCCAGGGGAGAGGCTGCATCAGCTGGCGTGCGAGTTGCTCCACGGTTGTTTTTGGAGGCTGGGTTTTCACAAACGATTATTCCTGTGGCTGTGACACTCGTTGGCCACTGAAACATGGTCACAAAATTCAGGGGACAGCCTGCATCAGCTCGTGGGCGAGTTGCTCCAGGGTTGTGGAGGCCGTGGTTTCGCAGGTGATTTTTCCACGTCTGTACAAAATCATCGGCTGCTGTCCGGGCAATCGCATCGCACCTTGACATCAAAAAAGAACAGAACCGGACAGAACCAACCGAAAAAATACGCTTTTCCCATACCAAGTTCGCGAATGCTTCGTTTGGAAATCCCCTGCAGCTTCGGGGATGATTCACAAGGTCCAGGGGAGAGCCTGCATTGCGCTCGCGGGAAAGTTCACCCACTGTTCGCTGGCGAAAGCCGAGTTGTACTTGGAGCTTCCGGTTGCGCAAATGACTTTTCCAAGCTGTCTAAAAATCATTGGCCCATTCCCGGGCAATTGCATTGCACCTGCGTATGGTAGAACATGTAGAACGTAACGGAACGCCAACCCCGGAACGCCCGGAACGGAATGCCAACACCCTGAGAATGCCGTGCATGGCGCGCAATCTACGCTGTTTATCATGCTAGTGTCATCCAACCGTCCGCACGGATTATCGTGGAGCAGCATGAGCTAATGGAGATCGCTAGCGGAAGCACCGGCTAAGACTTCCCAACAACATAATTGCGCACCATCCAGTGCAAAAGCGGTCGGACAGGGGGCGCTCGTAGTTGTAGCCGTTGGAGTCCCAGCAGCTGGCATCCCCGACGCCGTGCCATCCCAGGCAGCAGAGCTCCCATGTGAAGTTGACGCTCGGCCGGAAGCAATCGCTTGGGATGCCGTGCATGAGAGCCAGAACTACAGGACAACCTGGAATTTCGGAGCTGATTGCATAAAGAAATCTCCTCGGACTGAGACAAGATTCCCACATTTACTCAGCACCAGCAGGATGCACAACTAGCACGATGCTTAACTTTCTATGCGACTCAAGGGCATGTCAGCATGTTGGTCCAAACTTGGCTTGATCCACCCTGTCTCAACCCATCGGGAGCATTAGATGTCCTTAGTCAGGCGCATGAAGAGTACTAAACAATAAACCTTGCATCCTAAAGTCAACCCACCAAGGACTTCCAAGACACTGGCAGCCACGATCTGCAATACACCATTCTTGTCCATTATCTTGCACTTGTATATACATATATATATATAATACTATTGCATGTTCTAGTTTACTATGTTGCACTTAGAACACAAGTCAACCGACCTAGCACTTGCAAAGAAGGACTTGGCCAGAGCGAACCTCGGATTCCAGGAGACCTCGCACCGCAAAGAGTGGAGGCGTCATTGTGCCCTGGGCAACAGGGGAGTCTTCGACCTCTTGGTACCTCTACAAAGGATCCGTATAAGAAGGATCTTCGACCTGTTGTAGTCTACACGCCAGTGATTTAGTGCTGGGGCGTGTTTGCAGGGTTAAACCGGACGCTTCTAGGGGTTGGTGGCGAAGCCGGCACAGAGATCCCAACTTGAACCGAACAAGGCTACCGAAGGCTGGATGAGGAGAAGGAAGGAGACACCCGATCATCTTCCGACCCTCCTGCCCACATGGTTCAAGAGCCCTAAAAAGGCTTCTTTGACCCCAAACCCTAAACCCTAAACTCGAAATTGTTCAACGGCCGCCCAGGAGCCGCGTTGCGTGTGGGAGCTTCTCCTTCTCCGACGGTGGCCGGCTCCTAAGCGATGACTGAGAAAGAGGCTTACGTTCGACAACTCACGATTCTGGGATCACATCTCAGAGTTCACGCCTCTCGAGGGTGACGAAAAAAAGGTTCCTCCCTCAAGGCTTCAGGGCTTCGGCAACTCATTACATAACTCACAAAAATACCACAAGCAGATTTGGGATCCTCGGGCTTTTCCTGAAGTGGATCTTGACACATCTGAACCTGTCTGCACCTCATGTGCCATCTCCGTTTCTGAGCTTGGTAGAACCCGACAGCCGGGTGGCCGTGCATGTCACCGGTGTTGGGTTTTTCCAGTTTGACTTGCCGTAGCTTCACTTACCAAACCTATCCAGCAATGGGAAAGCCGGCTGAATCTCCTTTCCTGAGACTTCAAAGCCCAGCATCAGGTTCTCATGACTTGCAGCAGATCACTTAGGGCCATGCCAAGTCCCTGTTCAAGATGTTGACGCTGGAGATTCTGTAGTCTAGACTTCTGGCATAGCCGGGTCTATAAGCTATCAAACCAAGAGAAGCCAAGAGCGCGACATCGCTTGTTGCGAGCGTCTCTGCTGATGTTGCGGATCCCTCAGAAGCAGGAAAGGCCACAAACGAGATGCCTCCGACGATGTTGTAGTTGTCGTCATGGTGTGGCCACGAAGGCTGAGGTAGCAGCAGCAGCAGCAGCAGCAGCAGCAGCAGCAGCAGCAGCAGCGGCAGCAGCAGGAGCACAAGTAATTGCGGCAGTAGGAGGAACAGGAGCAGGAGCAGGAGCAGTAGTAGCAGTAGCAGTAGCCGTAGCAGTAGCAGTAGCAGAAGAACAAGTATATAGTAGTAGTAGCAGTAGCAGTAGCGGTAGCCGTAGCAGTAGCCGTAGCCGTAGTCGTAGCCGTAGTCGTCGTCGTA